TTTAATTAATCATCACCAATATTTCCAAAAGCACCGAGTTCGATAATAAATAATACGAAACAAGTTTGTTTATTTAAACATCATTGGGACTTCCCACCTATAATATTATTTTTCGATCGATGCAGGGAAGTTCTTTGGGTACTGATTGATGGAAAATATGTTTGTACTAATAATTATCATACTTCGAGCTTTCATAAATATTGTTGTTTTAAAATAAAAAAATTGGATGATTTATTTTGTTAGGGTAGCGAACTCCCTTTTGGAGTTCAAAATTTTGCCATTCCGCCGGTGTCCAAGCAACCTACTACCGCCCCCAGCACGAGTTTTATCAGGTAATTTCTTTAATATAATAATATTTGCTAAAATTTATTTTGTTTTTCGATTTTAACGAGCTGTTTATTTTGTTACTAGTAAATATTTGATTTACTAAAATGATATTGTTTACTAGTGAACCATTTTTCACTTTTATTTCCACTAAAATGATATTGAGTCGGGTTTTTTTTTTTTTTTTTTTTTTTAACAGGGGCCAAATTACTTCGAGATCGACCTCGATATTCACCGCTTCAGCTACATAGCAAGAAAGGGACTCGAAGCATTTCGAGAGCGTTTGGGAACCGGAATACTCGATCTTGGATTAACAATCCAGGTGTGCATATATACACACACACACACACACACACACACACATATATTGGTGTTCTAATTTCGACTTTTGACTGGCGATGAATTGAAGTATTGATTTAATAAATTACAGGCACAGAAACCAGAAGAACTACCAGAGAAGCTACTCTGCTGTGTGAGATTGAACAAGATTGATTTTGTTAACCATGGTCAAATACCGACTATTGTTAGGCTTGACGAAGAATGATTTGCCGTTGTCTAGGGTGGGGCCCACGAAATGTGACGCTGTTTATGAAGTAGGAGATTCAGTAAAATTTATATATGTTGGTGAATAACAACTTGATCACCATTGATTTAATATTAACAATATATATATATATATGCCCTCTGATCTGTATGTATTATAAAGATGTATGTAGTAGCTTTCTCAAACTTTTGTGGGAATGTAAATTTGTTTTAACTGATTCTTAATGTTTGCTGTAATGAGATTTCGTAATAAGAAGTTGCTATGTTGAGATTTATTTATGTAATAATAATAAAGTAGGACTTATCTATAATGGAGTAATTCAATTTAATTTTCTGCTATAATTTAAAATATCGAGTACTGGAATGTTAAATGTCGTTACAATTTTACTGATACCGTTTTGACTTCAAATTGTGACCATTTCGGAGTCCAAATTTAACAGAAAGTCGAAACACATTGTATATCGGCTACAATTTCGATGTTTTAAATTTTTTTTTCCAGCGTAACTCATTCATTGATAATTCTCTCGTTCGAGATGAAATCTAGCTGACTGAAAAATGGTCGAAATCACATTTGAAATCGTAACAATAGTAGTAAATTCGAAACTACATTTAGCATCTTCCTATGGGGTGTAATTCACAAAAAGGGACTTGTGTGCAATTAATGTAAACGATTTAGTGGAGTTGAGGGATACATATGTCAATAAGTAAGAAGAGAAGGGTATAATAGGGTAAGAAGATTTAGGGCTAAACCCTAAATTGCGCTGTATAAAAGGGAAAGGAATAGAGACGGAGAAGAAGCAAAATCAGCGCCGTAGGCCGAGCGCATACCCCATGAAAGAAGGGGGCGCGTGGTATTCCACGGGAGAGGTTTTAATCGTGGCGCACTTTAGTGTGATTGGCGCACATTAATATTTATATTGGGGTTTCCATGGCCGCTTTGCTGCTTCAGTTATGCAGCTAACAGCGATATGAATTGCCCTATATTTCTTCTTTCCATCCTTTTCTATTTTCTGAAAAAAATATTTTTTTTTTCTTACAAAATTGTGTTTCATTCTTACATGATTAGATCTAGATTTTCTTACAATTAATTATGCTCATCAATTTGAATTTTCAGCTCAAAATTAAGGATGCTGTTTTAAATTTTAACACTGCAAGGAACAACTGTTCATACTTATTTCTATAATTTTAGTTTTTAATTTTAATTTTGATTTTTTAATCGTATATATGAATTTGTTTAATGGATAAATAGTAGCAATCGGATAAATAAAATATAAGTATCTCAATAAAAAAAATAATTACTCAGCTAAGCTACATTTTCTAAGTGAACTACAACTCGAAGGAATTGAATAAGTAAATAAAAAAGAATTGGAACATCTACAGTATCTGAATATACAGTAGAAACAAACATTGAAAAAATATAATTTAAAAAATAAGTAAATTGATTTTGAGCAATTTTTCTGTTACAGTTGGATCTGCAGACTCGGATTGGAATCAAAATTTGAAACTGTGCACTAATCTGCACAAATGAAGAATTAGCTTGTCATTCAATCTGAAATTGCGTCTGTAAGGAAATATAGCTTGTCCTAATTGGACGTGTTCGCGTGCGCGTTACCTTTGTGAAATCGGGATCTTCGAAGAGTTTGATGAGGTAAATTGTATTGCCTCGAAGCAATTTCTTGAGAGGACTGATATACCAACGGCCCCGAGAATGCAACTCTGCTAATCTTCTTGTTCCCGTAATCCTATTGAAATATCCGAATCCAAATTAGCGACTGAAATCGTATTCCAATTTTCGATTTTCAATTCCACATTATCCAATTATTTGTCTTACCTCTGACAGTTCGTTAGGCTCGTAAATTTCGGAAGAATCAAAAGATTCGGGGCGTTGCAGCTGGGCATGTTCCCTACGCATGGCCCGGTAGTTCCGTCCGGAAGACTCGTTGGCTTGATCTTGGCCGTCTGATTGGTCGTTGTTTGATGTATTGGACGGATCGGATGTGTTGGATTTTTGGTTTCTTGAAATGGGCTGGCTGTGCAATCTAGTGAACACGTCTTGGTGCTTTTGCCTTTTGGCCCATGCGAAGCTGCTCGATGATGCTGTCACTTCCAGCGGAACCGATCGGGTGCTCGATTCTTGAGAATCATGTGACATTTGAGAAACCTCTGATTTTGTGTCGTAGGTTTGTTTTAGTGATGCACGAGGTGGCTCGATTCCAGCCCTTGATCTTCTGTATATATTTTGCACTTCCACCGTTGGCCCTGCGAACGTTGCCCTCAACCTCCTTCAAGAATAACAAGCAGACATGTCAGCATCAGAGAGAGAGAGAGAGAGAGAGAGAGAGAGAGAGAGAGAGAGAGAGAGAGAGAGAGAGAGAGAGAGAGAGAGAGAGAGAGAGAGAGAGAGAGAGAGAGAGAGAGAGAGAGAGAGAGAGAGAGAGAGAGAGAGAGAGAGAGAGAGAGAGAGAGAGAGAGAGAGAGAGAGAGAGAGAGAGATCGCGAGAGACAGAGAGAGCAAGAGACAAAAAAAAGATAAATCTGAGAGAAACGTGACTTTAGAATTTATGAATTTAAGTTAAGGGCAAATTAGGAATAAAATAAAATTTGAGGATGTCAATCATATTTATTTTTCTAAAAAGGATTTAGTTTATTAAAAAATATTATGGTTGTATTCCACATCTAATTATATTTCCAGCTAGGGACATCTAGCATATTACCCCAAAAAACTAATATAATGCGTTTGAGGTGTATTCCATATTAAAATGCTACAGATAACTAAAATTAACGGAATTGATCCCGGGCCATCCTATCCATCCAACTCGATATAGTAGATGATAACATTGCAAGTAAAATCAAACATTATCGAATAGTA